GATAGACAAAAGGCTTCCTGGGACCCTGCAGGGATCCATCACTTTCTGAGGCTTCTTTCCAATAAATTCCCTTTTTGGTTTAAACTAGCATTTGTGGGTTCTATTACTTCCTGACCTTTACAGAAAAACAAACTAAGTCTCAGGAAGGCTTACCAGCATGCCTGGGGTCACATAGCAAGTTAGCAGCGTAGATACTGCATCACATATACCTCCATATAATCGTGTTTCAAACAGATTAATCAGGTGTAACTGGCATACAATAAACTGCAGATATGTCAAGTGTGCCATTTGATAAGATTTGACATAGGTATGCATTTGTGAAACCATCGTCACATTCAAGATAATGAACATATCTGTCACCCACGAAAGTTTCCTCCTGCCCCTTCTTATTCCCTCCGGCTCCTCCCTGATGCTCACCCCAGGCAACCACTCAACTGCTTTCAGTCACTTTAGATTGGTTTGCATTTTCCAGAATTTTATATAAATGGAATCATACAATATGTACTCTCTTTTGTCTTCTTTCAGTCAGCCTAATTATTTTGAGATTCATCTATGTTGTTGTATATCTTAATAGATCCTTTTTTGTTGCTGAGTAGTAACCAATTACATGGATATAAAGAATTTGTTTACCATTCACCTGTTGATGGACATTTGGGTTGTTTCCAGGCTTTGGCTGTTAGAAATAAAGTTACTGTGAACATTCACGAGTAAGTCTTTATATGGATATATGCTTTTATTTCTTTTGGAAAAATACCTAGGAGTGCAATGGCTGGGTCATAATGATATGTGTACACTATGCTTAACTTAAAAAACTGCCAAACTCTTTTCCAAAGTGGTTATACTGTTTTACATTCCCACTAGCAATATATGAAAATTCTAGTTGCTTCATATTCTTACCAAACCCTTGGTTTAGTCTTTTTAATTTTAGAACTTCTAGTAAGCGTCTATACTTTTATAGTTTTAAGTTTTACCTTTAGGTCTGTCCTCTATTTTGAGTTGATTTTGATATATATACAAGGTATCAATCAAATTTCTTTTGTCTGTGTGTATAAATATCCAGTTATTCCAGCATCATTTGTTGACAAGATTATCCTTCTTATAATGAATTCACTTTCTCTAATAGATATAGGGCTATAGATATAGGGTTATTTGTTTCTTCTTGAGTTAGCTTTCACACTTTGTGTCTTCTATTAAGGAATTTGTCCATTTCATCTAAGTTGTCAAATTTATTGGCATAAAGATTTTGTGGGGCCGGCCCGGTGGCACAAGTGGTTAAGTGCGCACGCTCTGCTGTGGCCGCCTGGGGTTCGCCGGTTTGGATCCCGGGCGCGCACCGACGCACTGCTTGTCAAGCCATGCTGTGGCGGCGTCCCATATAAAGTGGAGGAAGATGGGCACGGGTGTTAGCCCAGGGCCAGTCTTCCTCAGCAAAAAAAGAGGAGGATTGGCAGATGTTAGCTCAGGGCTGATCTTCCTAACAAAAAAAAAAAAAAAAGATTTTGTGAATGACATCAAGCATCTTTTCATGTGCTTATTGGCCATTTGTATATCTTCTTTGAAGAAATACCTATTCAGATCCTTTGCCTAATTTTTAATTGGCTTATTTGTCTTTTCATTATTGCATTGTAAGAGTTCTTTATGTATTCTGTATACAAGTCCCTTCTCAGGTATATAATTTCCTAACACTTTTTCTCATTCGAAGGGCTGCCTTTTCCCTTTCTTAAGAGTGTCCTTTGAAGCACAAAAGTTTTAAATTTTGATAAAGTCCATTTTATCTACTTTTTCTTTTGCTTTTGCTGTCATATCTAAGAATCCATTGCCTAATTTGAGATTTATTCATATGTTTTCTTCTAATATAATTTTAGCTCCTATATTTAGGTATATGATCTAATTTGAGTTACTTTTCACATATGATATGAGGTAAGGGTTCCAACTTCATTTTTGTGTGTGTGAATTTCTAGTTGTCCCAAAACTATTTGTTGAAAAGACTGTTCTTTCATAATTGAATGGTCTTTGCACCCTCGTTGAAAATCAATTGACCATTGACACATGGGTTTATTTCTGGACTCTTAATTCTATTCCACTGATCTATATGTCTATCCTTATGCCAGTGCCACACTGTCTTAATTACTGTTGGTTGCTTTGTAGTAAGTTTTGAAGTCAGCAAGTGTGGATCCTCCAACTTCTTCTTTTTCAAGACTGTTTTGGCTATTCTAGGTCCCTTGAAATTTCATATGAATTTTGGCATCAGCTTGTCAATTTCTTTCTTTTTTTTTTTTGTGCTGAGGAAGATTAGCCCTCAGCTAACATCTGTGCCAGTCTCCCTGTATTCTGTGTGTGGGTTGCCGCCATAGCATGGCCAATGAGTGGTATATGTCCGTGACCAGGATCCAAACCAGCGAACCCAGGCTGCCAAAGCAGAGCACCCTAAACCCAACCACTATACCATGGGGCTGGCCCTAGCTTGTCAGTTTCTACAATGATGATAGCTGGGATTCTGATAGGGATTGTGTTGAATCTGTAGATCAAATGGGGATATCCTAACAATATTAAGTCTTCTGATGCATGGACATGAGATGTTTTTCCATTCATTTAGATCTTCTTTAATTTCATTCAAAAATGTTTTCTGCATATGTTTTTCAATTCTCTTATTAAATCTATTCCTAAGTATTTTGTTCTTTTTGATGCTATTGTATATGGAATTATTTTCTTAATTTTATTTTCAGATTGTTGATTTGTGTGCAGAAATACAATTGATTTGTGTATATTGATCTTTTATCCTGCAACCTTGCTGAGCTCGCTTATTAGTTCTAATAGTATTTTGTGTGTGTGTGGAGTCATTGGACTTGCTATATACAAGATCATGTCATTTGCAAATAGAGATAGTTTTACTTCTTCCTTTCCAATCTTGATGCCTTTTATTTCTATTTTTTGCCTAATTGCCCTGACTAGAACCTCTAGTACAATGTTAGATAGAAGTAGTGAAAGCAAATATCCTTGTCTTGTTCCTGATCTTAGGGGGAAAGTGTCAAGTCTTTATTAAGTATGATGTCAGCTGTGGGTTTTTTGTAAAAGCCCTTTATCAGCTTGAGGAAATTCCCTTCTATTCCTAATTTGTTTTGTTTTGTTTTGTTTTTTTAATTATGAATGGGTTTTGGATCTTGTCAAATGCTTTATTTTTCTTTTTTCTTTTGCATCTATTGAGAGAATCATGAGCTTTTTGTTTTTTTTATTCTATTGATAAGGTATATTACATTAATTGATTTTTGGATGTTAAACCAGTCTTGCATTCCTGGGATAAATCCCACTTGGTCATGGTATAATTCTTCTTAGATGTTGCTGGATTTAGTTTGCTAGTATTTTGTTGAGGATTTTTGTGTCTATATCCCTAAGAGTATTGGTCTGTAGTTTTCCTGTGATATCTTTGTTTGATTTAGGTATCAGGGTAATTCTGAGCTGATAGAATGAGTTGAGAAGTATTTCCTCCTCTTCTATTTCTTGAAAAGTTTGTGAAGAATTGGTATTAATTCTTTAAATATTTGGTAGAATTAATCAGTGAAGCCATCTGATCCTGTGGGTAATTTTTAAATTAATACTTCAATCTCTTTACTTGTTATAGGTCTATACAGATTGTCTATTTCTTCTTGAGTCAGTTTTGAGAGTTTGTTTCTTTCTAGGAATTTGTCCATTTCACCTAAGTTATCTAATTTATTAGCATACAATTATTCATACTATTGCTTTATAATCCTTTTTATTTTTGTAAAGTCAGTAGTAATGTTCTCTCTTTCATTTCTGATTCTAATAATTTGAGTCTTCTTTCTTTTTTTCTTGGTCATTCTAACTAATGGTTTGTCAATTTTGTTGGTCTTTTCAAAAGACCTGCTTTGAGTTTATGATTTTCTCTATTTTTCTATTCTCTATTCCATTAATTTACACTCTAATCTTTATTTTTTCCTTACCTCTGCTTGCTTTAGATTGAGTTTGCTCTATCTTTTCCAGTGTCTTAAGGTGAAAGGTTAGGTTATTAATTTGAGATCTTTCTTCCTTTATAAATAGGCATTTACAGGAATAAATTTTCCTCGAAGCACTGCTCTAGCTGCATCCCATAAGTTTTGGTGTGTTATGTTTCCATTTTCATTTATTTCAAAGTACTGTCTACTTCCTTTGTGATGTTTTCTTTGGACCCTGGGTTATTTCGGAGTTGTTGCTTAATTTCCACATATTTTTGAATTTTCAAAATTTCCTTTTGTCATTGATTTCTAATTTCATCCCATGTGGTCTCACTTTCTTTCTTTCTTTTTTTTGCTGAGGAAGATTCGCCCTGAGCTAACATCCATTGGCAATCTTCCTCTTTTTGCTTGAGGAAGATTTGCCCTGAGCTAACATCTGTCCCAATCGTCCTCTATTTTGTATGTGGGTCACCGCCACGGCATGGCTGCAGACAAGTGGTGTAGGTCTGTGCCTGGCACCTGAACCTGGGCCGCCTAAGCGCAGTGTGCCAAACTTAACCACTAGGCCGTGGGGCTGGCCCCTCACTTTCATTTTTGAAAGATACTTTTCCTAGGTAAAATATTTTAGGTTGATATTTATTTTTTTCTTTCTGTATTTTAAAGACATGGCTTTACTGTCTTCTCAATTGCGTTATTTCTGACAAAAAATCTCCTATCCTTATTTTTGTGTTTATTGTGTCTTTCTTCTCTGGCTACTTTTAAATATTTCTCTTTATCACTTTTAAAAAGCAATTTATGATATACTTTGGTATAGTTTCCTTTTTTTTTTTTTTTTTTGGCTAGATACAGTGTACTTTATTGATGGTATATGACATCAATCAGGGCTTCCTAAGCTCCTCCCCTTCTCCAGGGAGTCTGGGATGGAAACTGAGTCAAGGACAAGAGATTCTCAGTATGTTGGGAGATCGAGTTGGGGCAAGGACTCCCCAGCAGCTGAGGGCCTCTCTCTTCCTCTCACGCTCTTGCTGGGGCTGGTGATCCAGGGGACTCTCACTCCTTAGAGGCCATGTGGACCATAAGTCCACCACCCTGTTGCTGCAGTCAAATTCATTGTCATACCAGGAAACGAGCTTGACAAAGTGGTCTTTGAGGGCAATGCAAACCTCAGCATTGAAGGTGGAAGAGTGGGATCACTATTAAAGTCACAGAGACAACCTGATCCTCATTGTAGCTCAGGATGCCCTTTAAGGCACCCTTTGATGCCTGCTTCACCACCTTCTTGAGGTCATCATATTTGGCAGCTTTCTCCAAACAGCAGGTCAGATCCACAACTGACACATTGGGGGTGGGGACATGGAATTCCATGCCAGTGAGCTTCCCATTCAGCTCAGGGATGACGCCCACTGCCTCAACAGCACCAATAGAAGCAGGGATGATGTTCTGGGCAGCCCCACGGCCAGTCACACCACAGCTTCCCAGAGGGGCCACCCACCATCTTCTGGGTGGCAGTGATAGCATGGACTGTGGTATGAGTCCCTCCACTATTCCAGAGTTGTCATGGATGACCTTGGCCAGAGGGGGCCAAGCAGTTGGTGCTACAGGAGGCATTGCTGACAATCTTAAAGGAGTTGTCACACTTCTCATGGTTCATGCCCATCACAAACATGGGGGCATCAGCACAAGGGGCAGAGATGACGACCCTTTTGGCTCCACCCTTCAACGAGCCCCAGCCTTCTCCAAGATTGTAAAGACACCAGTGGACTCCACAACATATTCAGCACCAGCCTCACCCTATTTGATGTTGGTGGGAACTCATTCCTGGAAGATGGAGATGAGCCTTCCATTGATGACAAGCTGCCCATTCTCAGCTTGGACTGTGCCATTGAACTTGCCATGGGTGGAACGATACTGGAACATGTAGACCATGTAGTTGAGTTCAATGAAGGGGTCATTGATGATAACAATATCTATTTTGCCAGAGTTAAAAGCCCTGGTCACCAGCCACCCATTACGGCCAAATCTGTTTACTCTGACCTTCACCATCATGTCTCAGGGACACAGCTGGCACTGTACAAGAAGATGCAACTGTCTGACCAATGGGGAGGAGCAGAGAGCTTGGTATAGTTTCTTTATGTTTATTGTGCTTGAGGTTCATTAAGTATCTTAGATCTTTCATCAAATTTGGAAAGTTTTCAGTTTTTTTTTTTCCTTCAAGTATTTTTTCTATCCTCTTCCCTCCTTTGTGGACTCCAGTTACACATATATTAGGTCACTTGAAGTTGTCTCACAGCTCACTAATGCCATGTTGTTATTTTTTTTAGCTTTTTCTCTCTGTGTTTTATTTTGGCTAGGTTCTATTACTACGTATTCAGAATCACTAATCTGCCGTATTTAATATTCCATTAATCCATCTAGTGTATTTTTTATCTCAGACATTCTAGTTTTCATCTCTAGAATTTCAATTTGGGTCTTTAAAAAAATATCTTCTATGTCTCTACTTAACACGGTGAGTCTTTCCTTTATCTTCTTGTACATATGGAATATAGTTAGAATAACTTTTAATGTCTGTGTCTTCTAATTCTATCATCTGGGTAATTTCTAGATAGGTTTTAATTGATTGGTTTTTCTTTTCATTATGGGTTATATTTTCCTGTTTCTTTGTATACATGCTAATTTTTATTGATTGCACGACATTGTGAATTTTCTTGGGTGCTGGATATTTTTGTATTCTTATAAATATTCTTGAGCTTTGGTCTGGGGTGCAAAAGTTACTTGGAAACAGTTTGGTCCTTGCAGATCTTGCTTTTGTTAGATGGAGCCAGAGCAGCGTGTAGTTTTTACCCACTTCTGAGCCAAAAACTCTTCTGAGTGCTCTTCTCAATGCCCCATTACTTGTGAGATTTCACTCTGGTTTGTGGGAGCCGGCACTGTTCCCAGCCCTGTGTGAGCTCCAAGGATTGTTCTCTCTAATCCTTTTGGGTGGTTCTTACCCTGCCTTCTGGTAGCTTCCTCACGTGCAGGCACCGAGCTGAATTACTGTAAGAGGTACCCTCTATAGAGCTCCACTGTTCTCTCTGTGTGCAGCTCCTTCCTTTTTACTTCTCTGCCTTGTGTCCCGGACTCTGGCTTCCTCTTTTCAGTGCAGGGAGATGGGCCAGACTCTACCTGCCTTCCTCTCGCCATGCTCTGGTCTGGAAACTTCCTTCAGGCAGTAAGGTGGGGCATTCATAGGGCTGACCTCATTTGTTTCCTGACTCTCAGGAGTCACTGTTTTTCATTACCTGATGTCCAATGTCTTGACAACCATTGCCTCATATATTTTGTGGAGTATTTTAGTTGTTTTAGACGGGCATGTAAATCCAGTCCCTGTTACTCCATCTCGGCTGGCAGCAGAAATCCTTACGACCGTTTGTTAATTTGTTTAGCTGGCATTTGTGAAGGGAGAGCTTGCTGTGTGCCCACCTCACACTGGTCTTCACTCTCCAAACACTCCAAATACTCTTCTCTCAGGGCCTTTGCTTGGCCTTTCCTCTGTCTGGAATGCTCTTTCTAGCTGTACTTCCCTCCCTCAGCTCAGAGGCCTTCCCTGACTGCCCTGTATGACGTGAATCACTCTCTCTTTTATGTCCCATGACATTTCTGCTTTCCTTTACAGCTTCTTTTACTAGAATGTAGGCAGGAATTTTTGTCGGATTCCCCGGAGCCAGCGCAGGGCCAGGCTCACGGTAGGTGGTCAATGACTATTTATTGGATGAGTGAGGTCTGCGTATTTCATGATGCCTGTCATGTAACAGAACTCAGTCAAGTTGGGGCTGCTTGGCCGATGGGAACACAGCTCTCTGCCCTAAGGTTCCCAGCAGGGAAGGGACACCGGACCCCTGGACCAAGGCCGCACTCTCCTTAGTGATAACCAAAGGCCCTGCGTGCCGGCCAGGGGAGGGCTGACAGGTGGGGCTGATGAGTTCCAGGCCTCTGGGCTGCAGCACAGCCTGACAGAACCGGACGCTGGGCAGGGGCCAGCGCCAAGCTTCCATGACGTCGTCGCCTTCAAGGGCCCTGCTCCTCCCTAGGCTCTTGGTGGGGCTTCAGGTCTCACCCACCCCTCTCAGAGCCATCTACCACCAGGCTCTGGGCAGAGATGGAGCCATCCCCCCTGTTCTAGTCCTAGATCTAGTTGTGTGACCATTAACAACTATTAGAACACTCGCAGAATTAGAGATTGGCTCCATAAAGTGAAAAGTACTTTGTAAACTGAAAACAAGTACTCAATGAATTGGAAAGCCCTTAGGAAGCTTCTGTTCCAAACCTCTACTTTTGACAGGACGAGACTGAGGTTTAAATGAAATGTATGTAGACTGCTTAGCACCAGGCTTAGGACGTGGTGTTTTTATTCTAGCTACTAACCACCTGCCTACCTCTGGCTAAGCAACCCTGTGCCTCAGTGCCTCCTTCCTTCCTGACAGCCCTTGGCCCCTCAGCTGGAGGCCTGATCCATGCGTTTTCAATAAGGCCGGCCCTGTGGCTTGGTGGTTAAGTGCCCGCGCTGCGATGCTGGTGGCCCGGGTTCGGATCCCGGGTACGCATCGAGCCACCACTTCTCCGTTCATCCTGAGGCTGAGTCCCACATACAGCAACTAGAAGGATGTGCAGCTACGACACACAACTATCCACTGGGGCTTTGGGGGGAAAAATAAAATAAATAAAATCTTTAAAAAAGGAATATAGCTATCATTTTTTGAGCATTTATGAGGTGCCAGGCCATGAGCGAAGCACTTTGCATGCATTATTTAATTCTCTTGTCATAGGATGGGATAGGAATTATTGTCCCCATTTTACTGATGGGGAAACCGAGGCTCAGAGACATTAGGTAACCTCCCCAAGGTCCTATAACTAGTAAGTGGCTGAGAGTGTTTAGACCCCAGAGTGAGAAATCTCCAAGCGTCTAGGTTCTGGCTTCTCTTCCCTTAGCTATCTCTTCTAATAACTTGCATTTCCTGCCAGCTACACTTTCTTGGGCCTTTGGGCAAGATTTCTGAGAGTCCATTTGGTCAGTCATTGGAACAGGGTGAGACGGGGTCTAAAACCTCCAGCTGAGAGTCTGCCCGGAGGCCCAACTACGAGCTTTTTTGGAGTTGGCAGTAACCCCTCTGAGGGTCAAAGATAATCCCATGTCAGGGGCTGGCCTAGTGGCATAGTGGTTAAGTTCGCATACTCTGCTTTGGTGGCCCAGTTCGCAGGTTTGGATTCTGGGTGCAGACGTACACACTGCCCGTCAAGCCATGCTGTGGCAGTGTCCCACATACGAAAAATAGAGGAAGATTGGCACAGATGTTAGCTCAGGGCCAATCTTCCTCATCAAAAACAAACAAACAAAGATAATCCCGTGTCAAAAACACAGCCCTAGGGGAAGGATGGGGGCATGGGCAGGAGCCCACAGACCCAGTTGTTCCCTCAGCAAGTGTCCTGCCAGCTGGTTCTCTAGGCGCCATCAGTTAAACATTCCCCACAGAATGGCAGGAGCTGCAGATGCAGGCAGGCAAATGGAGTCCAGCCCCGTGGGAGCTCCACGTGGGCAAGGTCACCTCTGATAGGACTGTTGAGGGGGCCTGGCCCCTCCAGGAGGGGATGGGACTTGAACCAGCCTTGGAGGACCTCGCCAATTTGGATCATGGAGAGTGGGGGTGGGATGGGCAGCCTTTTCAGCACAGAGAAGCCAGGAGTGCTGGTCAGGCCGTCCAGCCTTCCCAGGCTCCTCATGTGTGCCCCTCTGTGTGTCCACACCATAGCATTCCCAGTGAGGGGTTGTAGTGCGGTTTGGCAGATGAGGAAACTGAACCTGGGGTCCACGACTGCAGGCGGGATGTGCTGAAACCTGGCGATGAGCTGGATCATTCTGAGGGAGGCCATGGGAGGTTCCTAAGCCTCAGGAGGTTACCTGGGCAATGTGTGGGGTAGAGGAGGAAGAGAGTAGAGGCCAGAGACGGTGCAGAGGCTGTTTGAGCAATCTTGGCGGGCTATGAGGGAGGCCTGGGCCAGGGCAAGAGCCTGGAAACAGAAGCCTGGGGGGATGGGGCTGGGCTGGGCGGATGGGAGGTGCAGGAGGTCTAAGCGGGAAGGGATCTCAAAGATCATCTACCCTACCCACCTGTTTCACACAAGGAAATTGAGGCCCAAAGAGGGAAAAGGGCTTGCCCTGGGGCACACAAGAGGTTAATAGTAGAGCCAAGTCAGAAAGACCCTGAGAAGCTCAAGGACATTCCCATTAAACATGGAGCCGAGTTTCCTCCTGTAATAGACCCTCCTCCCCCAGGGATCAAACCCCGACCTGAGGTTATCAGGGGTCCCAGTAAGGCCCAGCTTGGCTTCTGTCTCACTGTGGGACCCTAGGGTATCCCCTCCCATTCCCTGGGCCCCAGTTTGCTCATGAGGACCAGCTGACCGCTATGGCCCCTTTCTGCTCTAAGTGCCCAGAGGAAGACAAGGCTAGGGCTTCTTCCTCACTCTGGTCCCCCAACCCCCAGTCCAGCCTGACACTGACACGGGGGTGGAGCCGGCCTGCTGGGGCTCACATGCCTGAGGAGTGAGTGCCTGGTCCCGAGGAGGCAACATGATCTGTAAAGGATCCCTGACCCTCTCCTTTTGAACCCCAGAGAGGGCGTCTCAGTCATGTGAGGACCACAGGGGGATTAGCCACGCTGAGATGGGAGGCTGGGGAGGCGGCAGCCTGGGAGAAAGACTGGGAAGAGGGGAGAGAAGGAAGCAGGAGAGGGAGGGCCTCGGGCCTCAAGGGTGGAGAACTGAGCTGCTGGGAAGGGCCCTGCAGGGGTCCTGCAGGGGGAAGGTGCCCCAGCCTGGCTCCTTTGAGGGGTGTGGGGCATGCCACCTTCTGGCTGTAAGTTTCTGAGTGCATGAACCAAGCCAAAGTGAGCAGTTCTGGGGGCCAGGCCAGAGGGGAAGGGGCCTAGGCCAAGAACCCAGGAGAAGGGGAAGAAGGGGTGTGGTGGGCCTGGAGAAAAGACTAGGGAGGCAGAAGTGAAGGAGTCAAGGCCCCTGCCTGA